AATAATTCTTATACCACATTTTTGAAGTCATTGCTATGATTTCACAGTATTTCTCAAGTGAAAAGCAACAACAATTAAGCAGCTTCTAATTTATTTGTGACACTTAAAATCTAATGAAGATAATTTCTTTAAATTACAGAATTTACCTGAGGAATCAACACTAATTTAACAGCTGATGGATCAAGTTTATTATATGGGTCTGTTTCTTCAATTTAGGAAGTGGAAATTTTCAATTTAAACAAACTTTAACAGTAAGGAGGAACATGGAGATTTTCATAGTTAATTTCTGAGGTTCAGAGGTCTCTTCAAAAGTCAGAACTCTAAAATCCTTTACAAATAATGTTATTTCAGAAGTCCAGATACAGTGAACTGCCTAAAGCTCATGGCGTGTTTACAAATCCTCCACCTTGACCTAAGTACAGGAAGGGAAAAAAATTAGATTTCTTTTAAGTCTTTTGCTTCTTACATCCATAACCTAGAAATGAGGGTGAGCTAAGCTTTCCCTGCTTGTTTATGACTGTTAATTGAATTCACACACTAAATTCATACATTAAGGTAACAAAGCCATCTTGGTGTTTGTTTTCATGTCCAGATCAATACAGGGAATTTTAACTATTACTGAAGTAGTATCATGCAAAATAAGGACATATTTTCCTCTTTCAATCCATCAGTCTTGTTCCTTCAAAGATAGACACCGGGGTGCTTAGAGGTCAGGATGTTATTATTTAGTTGTTAAGCAAAAATTTTAGATTTGTTATAGAAAACATGGATGTTACTCACTGGATGCCTGCAAAATATTACAGTTTTGAGAAAACATCCTCACCCAACCCCTTAGAAATACACACAAAATTCCTGGGGTTGACCTTCGAGAAGATGTGGATTGTGGGTTAAAATCTGAAAATGAAATCACAAGTCCCACATAATTCTGGCATCTGACTTTCAGTTTTTCAATTGCTCTTGATCCTAAACAATTTTGAGTTTTATATAGCTGCAGTTGTTCAAACTAATTTTGCCTTGGTGTTGGATTGAGGAAATGCAGGAAAAAAGCACAGAGCTCCTGCCACTGAGACAAAAAAAAAAAAAATCTGTTCTGACTCAGATCAAGCAAATCACCCTATGTGAAAACAAATTATAACAAAGTTCAGTTGTAGAACAAGAGGAGGGGTAGCAGCTCACCTGTAATTATGAACACCTCTGAAGTAAACCAGAAATTGACCTGGTGCTGCCATTATGTCGAGGAGGCAAAGAGCAGAGGAAAGACTTTTTTTTCCCTTTGTTTTTCCTCAGCAGACCACCTTGTCTCAAAAGATTTGTGAAGAAAAGCAGTCTAAATTTGAAAACATAGTCCTGAAAAACAATCTTTCCTTTCATTGGTGAAAAATTGAACAAAGACACCCCAAAAACCTGCTACAACTAAGAAACCCAGGTCCCAGCAGCAAAAATAAGAGATGTTAAATTATTAAGTAAAAAGCAATGATGAGATCACCCACATATGGCATTAAATTTAGAATACCAGTGAGCCATCATGTAAGAATAGCTTTTGATAACTAATGGCCCCTATGTGAAAGGCTTCTTATCCAATTTCAATTCTGTTTTGCCTTCTCTCATTTCATACATCCTTTCCTAGATTAGAAAGCAACTTTCATAGGCAACATTTCATAGGAAATATTCCACTGACTTTCGTGTATCTAATGAATGCTGATAAGTTATTTTTCTGCCCTACTGGATGCTGGAACTAAGCATCAATCTGAGAGCAAAATAACAGACAAAAGTTCATTATACTCAGAGATTAGCATCAAAATTCATGTCTGCAGTTACAGAGAATTGTGTTGTAATAGTTATTTAAAATTTATATTATATCTGCTGCAGACATAGACTTTTCCTTTGAGAATTTCTAAAAAGCTAGAAAAGGCAGAAAAAGTTTCCAAAGCCATAGGTCAATAAACCAAACTCTACTGAAGTTAATTCAAAAAATTTGCATTGTTTTACTTGAGCAAGGGAATTTTTTTGAGCAATCAGCACAGTAATACATTCAGTACTGGTGGTGAGGAATAGATAGCCATTAGCCTTCTGCCTCGTATTACCTTTGGCTGAAATAATTTCTTTCTCCCTGCTAGCTGCAAACAGCTGTGCAAGTGAATTCTGCTGCCTCTAACTGAGCAGTCCACTGCTCTAACCTCCTGCAGGCTGTCAGCATCACCAGAAGGGTAATCAAAATTCACCTGTTTAAGATATCAGTGCAATGTTTTTATTCAGGTAGAAAATAACAAAAATTCCCAGACCATCCAGGTCAAAGCAGCACAGCTGAAATCAGTGGAGTTACAACGGTCAGACAAGATGATCTAGCCCAAAACCCTTACAAGGGCTGTTGACGAAATTCTAGTAAAGCCTGTATTCTTTTACTGTCAAGAATTCACAGGTCAATAGTTATTACCATAAAGTGGAAGGCTCTGTTGACAACATAGATATCAGCAAGGTCCCATCAATTTCAATATAATGTTTATAAAAATATTGATAAAAATATTGATGGAAATTTATTGATAAAATACTCCAAACACAATCAGAATAATAGTAAAAAACTGAGTAATTAAAGTCAGAAACAACACATTCAGGTACTAACATGCAAATTACAGTTCAGTTTAAGCATTTGTCTGTGAAAGCTTCTAAAATACATATTTTTGCTTGATTATGGAGAGATTAAAGCAGAAATGCATCCTCTGGGATTCTGTTTAAGAGGTTTGTATTGAAAATGAGGCAATAGAATCAGTCAGCATATGCATGTGATTTATACTACTAATGTTTTTAAAAGGCATACTTATTTAAATTTAAATCAAAACAAAAACTTTTCAATAGCATAAGATCTAGAACTAGTTTTGAGCCCATTTTCAATTTATAGTTATTACCATAGTAAAAATAACCCATAAGGGCAAACTGAAAAGAACAACTTTCCTGATGTGAATTTTTTCTCAATCTGCCATAACTTCATTTCTACACAAAGAAACTCCATTCCAAATTGGAAAAGGTTTCAAGATATGCAGTAAACCAGACTACAGTTAAAAGTTCAGACCAGAGGTCAGGAGAAAAACACCACTCTGTGTCTTATGTATATTTAAGTGTACTTCACAATCTGTGCAATATTTCCATTGCTCTGAGATCTGGGATCTATACATAAAAATCAGATTTTCTGAACTGTATCTCAGCTTTATTTTTCTAATTGGGTAGGAACAGTTTTCATCCACAAGTACATATTCCCTTAACTTACACCATATTCACAATTAATTTTGAAAAATTCAGACTCGCAGGTTGCACATCCATAAATGCCCTTGGCCAGCAGCATTTTTCTTAAATTGTTTGGCTACCACAACTCAGTGCAGTTTTTCAGACAGCTTATATTAGTTGTCCTCAGTCTATCATCATACTGTGGTGCCACCATTTTTTCATTCTTTTCAGGATAATAATCATAAGCACAGAAGAGAAAAAGGAACTGAAATTACTGCTAAAAAGGAAAGTAAAGCCGATTTATAGCTACTATACTCTCAAACCTCAGTGTTAACCACGCTTCATTGCAACATCAAAATACCCAACAAATAAACCATAACTTTATCTTCGACAAAATGCTGCACAGCACCACAGAATTCTATGCTTGTTAAGGTGATAGCGTACAGCATATTATTTCTAAACATTAAATTACTGTATGATTCATGACCGAATCACTGACAATCAAAATACACAGAAGTTAACTGCTCACATATTTGAGAATTTTCTCTCTCTGCTTTGATCCAAAACCATCAAAATACTTGTTAACCTTTTCTTGGATTTGTTAGAAATTGGAATCAACTTCTCTGTCGTATTTGCCCAGTAAGCCTGAAATTGCTGATTAGTGCAATGCATTATTGCCTTTGTGTCTGTAGAACCAGTGTCGCTGGGAGTTAGCTTCTGTGTGTGTGGGTCTGCATAAGTGATCTGTATAATTATTCTTCCTAAGTCACTGTTAATTACATCTGTGTTTCTTCACTAAAGAGAGTAGACTGATAAAAGGTGACTGGGACCATAAGATAATGTAATCCACAGACAAACAGACACATGATGATTACAGATAATAATTAATAAAAACAATATAATACAACTGAATTTATTGTTCTAAAGTGGCTGTAAAGAACCTGGAAACTAGAAAGCAAAAATATGTCTCAGTAGTAGACTGTCTTGTATATGAAAGTTATTGACTAGGAATTGAGCAGAGTCAGTTTTGAAAGTTCAGCAGCACTTTTAAAAATGAGATTAAAACAAATTTAAGATGAAGTTACAGCAACTTTCAGGTTCTTTTCAGCATGCTAGTCTTGTCTTAGCATAAAATACAGCTCCCCCATCTTTATTGTAAATATAAATAGCTATGGATATATGGATATACATATGTGCATTACCCACATTTAAATCCAACCATCCAGAGTGCAGAAAGGAAGGCTCTGAAGATCAGCCTCTGAAATGTTAATTGTTGAGCCCAGTTTGCAACCAGAGGAATAGTAAAACAAAGAAAAAAACAGACCAAAGTTCCTTGGAGCTCCATCCTCAGTAGTGGCAAACAGAATCTGCTGAATGGCTCCATCCACTGAGTTGTCTGTATTTAAACATGTTGCTGTTACCAAACCAATGCACCCAACTTCAGTGGGATGTAATGGACAAAAAGGAACAAAACAAAAAAATTATTTATATATGCTGGTGCAAATCTTACTTTTAAAAGCACTTCATCCATCCTTAGCAAGACACCTCTCAAATGACAAAAAAACAGCCAAAATCTTGCCAGGCACTAACTAGCTATGCCTTTGATTGCACTGTTTGCAAATCTATAATAGCACTTCTTCCATCTGTTCTGCAGTTTCCTTCTATACATCCCATTTTAAAAATGAAATAAATTGCTTACAGGTTCATTCCAAAGACCTCTTCCAAAGAGGTCTTTCAGCATATTGGCTATTGTGGACAATACTGTAAAATCCGGACAAAAATAATAGAGCCTTGTATAGGAAAAAAATATTTAGAAGAGCTGACAGGTTTTTCAAGGGAAAATTTTAAAGAAATATGTATCACTAACAACTCAGCCAATGACTGGTTCTTCAACATAAGACACAATTAGTTTACAAAGCTGCTTTGTTTAAAACCCCAAAGTAAAAAAAACAGCTGGTTTTCAAAAGCAAAGTTAAATTGAATTCCACACATTATCTATAATAATTTTATGGCAAAATTATGCATAGTTTCTGAAATCAGAGGAAAAAGTTCCCTGTTACTCTAGGGATGACTCAGCAAAACAGTTTGGAAGTTGATTTTAAAATGCTCAGATCCCTCTCAGAAGACGTTTGGAATTATCCATTACTTCACGTAGGTGATGAGTCTTGTCTTGCTCAACATCCCCTATAAAGGAGCAAACATTGAAATAATAGCCACAATTTATTTTTTTATATAGATATATAAAGCCTAAAATACATGTTAACAGTTTACATTACATAGAAAATGACTGTTACAGAATTACAAGACTTTTTCTGATGCCAAAAGGAAATGAGATAACTAGGCTTCTTTAGAAAAAAGTATTTCTCAGGAAAAAGAACATTTAATGTTTTTTCCACTGGGTAACTAGTTTGGGTTTTTTTGTTTAATTAGCCAAGCATTCAGAACAGGATCAGATTAGAATGATTTTTACGGCAAGTCCTCCATTAAACTAGTTTTAATGTTTGTGTATGTGCATGTGTGTTTGGAACTCATGTAATAGAGCCAAAAACGAGATTTCCTTTCTGTTATAATAGGACACTACCTTTGCCATTATTGTTCTTATTGTTTAAGCGTTGCACTTGAGCCCACAGTTATATCTAAAATGCCAGTAACTCTGTTAGGCATCACTACTGTTACTACTGAGCAAGGGTCTAACACTTCAAAGGGCTCAGTAGCTGAGCAAATCCTTCCAAAAACACTGTTGGAATTAAATAACATGGCACTGATGAATATAATATGAATATAGCTCATGTTTCTTTCTTGAGTGAGTCAGAAAAGTAGCACTTTCTGACAGCCTGCTCTGCAGTGAATAGTGAGCACTGAGTCACCCACACCACCCCAGCACAGCATCCCTTCCACTTGATATTTGCCATTCTATAATTAGAACAAACGACATTCTTGGGACACACCAAAATGCTTTTAGTTAACTTTCTGCTTAAACCCATTTACAGAGTCTTTACTGTTCCTGTCTCAAAAGATAAGGCACACAATCATGACCTGTGCTATCTCCACTTTAGAGACAGACCTATTATTATAAAAGTAAATGCCACCCACTTGCTAACACTGGAGACTAATTAACTGTTCAATGGCTGCTTACCAAAGAGGGTAAAAATCACACTTGTCTGTACCAACAGCTGTCCTAGAAAATCAAGAGGATTAGATAAAACTTTCTCTTTATTGATCCCCCCCATTCCTTTAATTTTTATTTCTTTTTATTTTTAATTTCAACGTGTTTTGCTTATAACTATAATTTAAATACTTGTTTTTGTAAAAGTATAGAAGTTCTCTCTATTCTGGTTCTCTCTGGTCACGAATCCATTTCCTGGAAAAATATTTTGAAATCCTTTTTATTTGTTCATCATCTGATTCATGTTTTGAAATTTTTTCTTTTAAAAGCAAGTCAGCTTGATTTCAATAGCTATATTGAAAACTGAAAGCTATATAGATTCATTAACCACATGGTATGGAAAGCAAATCTTTAAATCCCAGGTGTATAGGACAAATCCATTAAAATAAAAGTCAGTACCTATAACTTTACTTTGCACTTGACTATCTACATATCTGTTTAAACCAAACTTCCTCAGGTTGAGGAAAAAATTCCAAAAGGATATCAAATAAATATGCAACTCATCCAAAGAAAAAAGGCACAAAAAAGTAATGTCCAAGTCTCAACAGACACACACCGGGAAGGAAATACATTAGTTACACCAGCATCAATAAGAATTTTGCAGTTCAATTAATTGACAATGGGAATAATAGCATAAACAACTTGCAAAAAGTCTCTGAACTGGCTATAAGTCAGTGATGTGCTTTGGAACTTCCCACTTAACTTACATGACTTTCTGTCCCCAGCAAACAATGAGCAAATTAGCCTGTCCTGATTCTCGAGAACAGCCAGCAGCAGGGAGGGCATGAATAAAAATACTTTAGAACTCCAGTTCTATGAACACTTTTAATGAGAACTCTTTTCTTTTTCTATCTTACCTTTTTTTTTGTGTCTAATATTGAAACCTTTTGAAAAGTAGAAATGTTTTTATACAGGACACAGCTGTTCAGAAATGGACCTCAGTCACTGCTGGCTTCAGTGATCAAGTGAAACACATCTCTGCTACCAGCTGAGCTGGGGGCTGGATGTAAAGAAGCCTTCTTTTTGTTGTTCTGATGTTATGTCCCAGCTCTATAATACATATAGAAGCAAAAGAGTTTAAACTGTATCTTATTGCTGGTTTAGTAGGACTTGAATGGTAGAGCAGAATTGCTAAAATGTCCCTCTGTTGCTACTTTTACAAGCTCTTGCTGTAGGGACCAGGTGGAAAGAGGGAAGGATGGAGAGGATAAGTGGAGGGATCCAACAGCTGGTACCCATCTTGTCAGACAGTTACAGGAAATACAAAAGAGCTTCAAAGAAACGGCGACCCAACAGATTCCAGCAAAAACACAACACGGCTGCAGTAGGAAGGGAAATTTTAACTATGAGGTTCTGCTTGCCTTATCAAATGTGATAGCTGAAGTCATGCAAGAGTCACCCAGACATTTCAAGCTCTCCAGAAGGCCCTGAGATACAAACAGGAATAACTTAGCAATTGTTGACCTGGTATTTTTTTAAAACAGAACATATGGCCTGTGAAGGCTTCTTCTTCCTTTGGATCTAGTCCAGCAGTCAGGCAGACAAGTTCAACCTTGCAATTAGGGCAAAATTGCTGGAGAACAACTGCTAAAGCTCCCCCTTTGCTGCTGCTACTGCCAGTCTCTTGGTCTGTCACACATGACCTGGCTGGGGATCACAGGCTGTCCCATCCCTGCAAGCTCTCCCCAAGAACTCTGGTGTCCCCTCTGAGCATCCAGAGAGCCAAAGCCCCCTGCTCAGAAATCCACACTCATTTCCATTCCTCACACTTGATAGTAATAATAAGCCACCCCAAGGGAATCAACCCAGCCCACAATTCTTTAATGCAAAAATCAAAGTGGGATTGTATATTTATTTCTATTGTGGTAAATTTTGTGGCTAACTGATACATTTTTTCATATAGATTACAAGTCCAGGTTTGCTGTCCTTTCATGGATTATACAAATCAGCACAGACACACAAGTGACAACAGTAACCATAGCAGCAATAAAACTGCATCTGAAACACTAAAGAATTGCTATTGTATAAAATATTAAAAAGTAAAGAGATTCCTTACTACAGTAATAAACTGTCATTTTATTCATCACCTACTGAAAATTATTTTTTATTGCTCAGAAATATTCCATCATTACAAGATTTTGATTCCAGTCATGGAAGAATCTTTTCAAATTACAAATTTCCTGATTTAGGCTAGAATTTTATTTTCTTACATGCTGGAAAATATACTATAAATTTTATTTACTGTTTAAATCAGTTGTCAATTAGTCCTGCTCAGCTAGTTTTCAGTCGGATGAGAAAAAAAATGCCTATTTTCTGGCAGGATAGAATTGAAAAACTGCAAGAATAAAAGTGTCTATTTACCTAACAATTCTAATAACTACATTAGTTCTGTCAACTTTGACTTAAGTGACAGATGCTGTTTCCTCTATACATGATTATCCAAAGGCACATTAGGGACACTAATTAATAAACAGGGACAAATGCTAGTGCCTAACTCATATAACCAGACCCAGCAAGGAAAATTGTTTTCTTTAATGTTTCACTGAAGCTTATAAGAAATCAACCGCAAATACTTTACTTATGTAGGAACTCAGTGTTGTAGACAATAGGGTTGGCTTGGGCTATAAATAAAATTAATACTTCAATATCTTTGGGTAAGTAATTTCATTACATATTTATACAGCATTAACTTTAACAAAGAGTCCATCTAGATAAGATCTGCAGGTACTACAAAATATATGAATATATGAAAAACAAGAAACTAGAAACAAGCTTCTACTCTCTAAGTACTTAATTTAAAATAGTTTGTTTACTTAGTATAAACTGTGGGTTTCAGATTTTTTTTCATGGCATATCTGTAATATCTATTAACATAATTCTTATTTGTAATTAAGAATCTTATTTTCTTTCAAGTTTCCCCCCTACAAATTGTGGTCGTATTTTCAGGGAACACATATAAGTTCTATTAATACTAATCAGAGTTTAGCCTGTACATGAAGGGAAGGCAAAATCCTTTTATGCTGAACATTTAATTAAAGTTCTTTAAAGAGTTTCATGTGTGTTATAATGTGCAAATTATTTTCACGCCTAACAACTCAGAAACTTGGCGGGAAATGATAGAAATTGTCCCTCTGACCACTAAGACTGTGCATACAAGTTCACACACAATCCGGATTCATGTAGCTACAAAATCAGGGCACAGAGAGTGATATAATTAATTTATTCAGAGCTTTTCACATTTCATCAGTGCATCACTCATAACAGGTTCTCCAAACCACCAGTTATGCCTTATTTGGCTGTAATAGACAAGCTGTATTTGGGACTGTGTGTTTCAGACTACATCAATGACTTACCAAACATGTATTTTATGATGAACACCTTAATTTCTTCCTTGTAGAATGCTGGCAAGTGACACATAGCAGAGCTCTTAGCAACAGTACGTGCACACACACTGAGTGTTGTAGCAACCTATGACAAAAATAAAATTATAGTGGAAATAAGTATGTAGGACTGAATGACACCCAGAGAGTAATTGAGAAGGGACAGCTTGGTGATTCAGTGAGAGCTGAGCTGTGCTTTGTACATTATCCTTGTGAGGCAAGAATGGCTGCCATTAATCATTCTGAAATCAGGCTGAGACACCCTTCATCTGACTGCACCCTACCCTCTGCTACTGCCTCATCGAGGGGCTGCAAGGAGGCTCCAAGATGTTTGATGGTTTCTGGAGCTCTAGATTTTCTCCTATCCAAGGGATATTAAAGGAACTTTCCAAGCATCCTCTCAGCTATAAATCTGCCATGTGATCTATGCTCAGGTGTCCCCAAACTTAGTCAGAGGAGTTGTAGAGTATGCATGGGCAGACAGGCTGTGTAGTCCTCTCTGTAGAAGAGAGCCTTGGAGGGCCTTTAGCAGTTCATTAAAATTACAACTCATTCCACATAATTCACAGGCAACATGGCTATTGTGAGATTTACTGTTCAAAACTCTCCAGGCAGACCATTGCTAGCCCAGGAATTCAGCCAAAGCTTACCTGATAACAAAAGATTTGATACCTGCATTCAGTCCCAGTGAGGCATTTTGAGAACTGCAGAATGTGGAAGGAAAATCAAAGTGAGGATTCACTCAATTTGCAGACATGAAACATCATATGCAAACATGATAAAGCCTCTCAGAGGATGAAAGAGATTCATTCTTCATAACTCCTAGAAGACTTAAGGAGTGGTTGATGGAGGCCTGAGAGAAGACAAGAAAAGATGGCCATGTCCTAACATCACTGAAGAATAATGGGAGACTGCAGAAAATAACACAAGAATTAGGACTGCCCTATGGCTATGCACCACATCTGATCAAATTTCATTCAGCTGTAGCTTTACTCATTTAGGTGTCAATCTGCAGATTTGGAAGCTATGGATTATAAAATCACACAGTAGTTGACTCCATTTTCACTTAGAAATGCCATGAAAATCTGTAATTTACTTTAACCTTAGGGGCTCCCCTGTCCCCCTCCCTTACAAAGCAAATGGTAAGCAGTCAAAAGGATCTCAGTCAGCAGGCTCAGCACATGAACATCCCACAGCACTATCTAATCAAATATTTGAGCATCATGCTCTTACAATTTGCTCAGACTGTGAAGGACATTTGATATGTTTGTTAAATTGTTTGTATCTACTGCTGGCAATTTTTAGCTGTGGATTTACTCTAGAAACTTGACACTGAAGTGAAGTCACAGGAAATCTGGATGTTGACATTGGCAATAACAGTACTCGTTCTAAAGTAGGAATAATAAGGATTATATATATCATTATTATTTGACCAAGTGTTGTTCACCTGAATTCATGTGTTTGTTCCAACAGGAAACCTTTTTTCCCCCCTTGTAATATGCCACCTGTTCCTAAGTTGAGACTCCAATTATTTATTTTCAGCTCTTTTTGAATCGCTAGCTAATCTAAAAGCAAATATGTCCTTTAATTTTGTTTCTGTGTGAGAGCTGGGAAGCTAAATGTTGACCAAATTTATAACTGCCAAAACTAATAACATTTTAAAACATTGACATAAGGGAAAGGAATAGGAAACTATTAGGACATATCCCTTAACCACACTTCAAAGGACAGAGGAGAAAGATAAAGTGTTTGAATTGGAGAAAACAGGTTCAAGCTCATGTCCTCACAAGTGTACTGGCCCTATCTCCTTATGCAGGAAGGGTACATAAAAGGGACAAATGAAGATTACAGCATCTGCGATAAAAGAATTTGCTAAAAAGATGCCCAAGATTGTCAGAATTACTAATGTATCTTTTTCCCATCTAAACTCTTAATGATAAATATAAAATTGCCTCTGTAACTACTGCATTCACAAATCCATTTGCAAAACAAGGCCTTATTCTCTACAAATTAAATGCAGTCCAATGCTATTTTTGATAAAAACTCCAGGCAGCCTGAAGGCTGCTGCACAGACTACCCAGACTTCACCCTCCAACAAAATCTCAATCTCTCTGTAGCACTACAGCCATTTTATCCTCTGGAAGCCAAGGGGAAAGCAAAGCTCTCCTCTCTCCCCACCATGCATACCATTTCCTCTAACAAGGACAGTGTCTCCTTTTGAAGTTTGATTTACAGGTGCTATAGAGCCATTGTGCTGACTTCATGTCAGTCTCCAAGGAAACAGGTAGCAGATATATTCTAGAAGCATCCCAAGAAGAAAAGAAGTGTTATCAAAAGTATTCTCAGCATAACCTCTGCTATGAGTAGAAGCAGAGTTCAAGGTCTTCTCTTGAATGGTTGAAGGATGCTGTGTTCAAATAAAAGGCTCCTAAGGAAATAATAGCAGGTCAAGCTGTGGATCTGGCAGTTGTACAGTCTCCATTTCTGAAAGAGTTGAAGATTGAAAAATAATCTATTTAAAGTTTTAGAAAATCTTGATATATGTTATAAATCAGCCAAATTTTAGGTTGGCATCTCCTCTTCCCACTTAGCACTTTGTGTAATACCTTGTCTTTTTGCTGCAATTACACTTCTCAGCCCAATCCATACCCACTTGTCCATCTGTATTTAAAAGTTGATGCTTAAGCTCTGCCTAGATTTTTTCTCACTCATTTAGAAGACTGAAACACAAGACATTGCACCTCAGCCATCTCTGCAGTCCTCTGCTCCCAGCAGCCAAGCAGACCGGTGCCCTGTAGCTAGGAGAGACAGACAGTGTAGCAGCAAGACTCTGTTGCTGGAAAGACATCACATCAAAGTGTGTACTTCCATGATCATTAAAAATTGTCCATGGCATTTTTAAAGTATGTACAGTAGAAGTAATGTCATACCTGAATTTTAAATGAAGAAATAAATTCTACTCTAAATTCCCATCTGAATAAGGTACGCTTACTTTTTTTTTGTCTTAAACAAGTAAGGATTATTTTATCTTTGTGAGAGTTTTATCCAAGAAAAGCTGAACTAATCCAAATCTGAATTTACTAAAGCATTTTGGGAACACATTAAATTATTGGTATTAATTAGTATGACATTTTAATTATTGTTGCTTTTGTACAGAAGAAACAAAACTTCTCAACACTGAAGCTCATTTTCTCTATTTGAGGCACAGTTCAGTACAAGCAAACAAGAGACTACAGCAAACAAAGCAAGTAAAAAGAGAAAAGAATTCCATGAATGATGGATAGCTTTGTTCCCAGCTTGGATCCAAGTGGGCCATGCTAATTGAAATAATTTCCAAAAAACAATTTAATTTCGTTTTATTCAGAAGTTGCCATTTCCTAACCCTCTCTGCCCAAGTATGTATCTGAATAGACACATTCAAGAAAATATCTGAAGACTGAAGAAGGAAGATTTGGGCATCAGCAAAGTTCAAATATGATTGTGAATTAATGGCACTGACTTGGAGATTAAAAGAGTTAAAGAAATTTGTCAGAGAAAAAAACAGTGAACGTAATCAAATATAAATATTGCTTGCAATTCTTTTAGCATTTTTCTACTACAAAATCAGGAAAAATAAAACCAAAAAAAAGCATGTCATAGACTTAAGGTCTCATTTGCCCCTGTTGTACTGCTTATCTTCACATTTCATAATTATGAATCCTTAGGATACATATCAGCAATAACTTCAGTCACTCTCATCAAGAAAATGAAACTTGCAATGTAACGTGGCCAATCTGTAATTTTCTACAGTAATTCTATCAGACCCAGAAATGAAACAACTCTAAGCTGGCACCATGGAAGAAGAGTTATCACTTTCTGTATACAGAGAAAGATCCTTTTACCAAATAACCATTCATACATCTTAACCTGGCTTACATTTTCTTCTCAGAATTGGCAGCAGGACAAAACAGTATTGACAAGACAGTCCTGCCAATACTTGTTCCCAAATCACCTACCTTGCAGGACATCATCTGCAGTTACCATTGCATTATTCTCCCATTATAAAATATGATTTAACACGACATTGTGCAACAAGAGAATGTTTTCAAATCCCTCTGCTACCCTTTTGTATTTCTTATTGAATTTGTCTTGCATTTGCCATATCAATAGACCTTTTTTATTTGATGTTAAAGCATTTTAGGTAAACATAGATATATTTTTCTATTGATTTCTACATCCCACGTGAAAACCAAATTAAATTTATAAGAATCTACCAAATGTTAGCACTTCATGTGGTATTTTATGCTGAAAAACGTGCATCCAAACTAGACAGCAAAGACACACTGGCAGAGATAAAATAGAAAAAAAAATTTAAAAGCTTTTTCATCATGATTTGCATCAGTTTTTCTCTTTTCCTTGGAAAACCTTTTGCAAGCAAAGAGACAGGTGATGAGAGTGATATTCATATACATAACAGCATCAATGTATAGCATTTTACTTGATAGAAAACACAAGTCTATCTCAGCATCAGAGCACACAGACAGGGAGTCAGACACAATTGTTTAGAATCATGCCCACGTGGGGAAAGCACAGAAGATCAGATAATCACAGGGCCTAATCTAATAGAATACAAAATACATTCTGAAAAATTGCCTATTCCTCCTCTATCTGAAAGGTGATCAAGCCTCCAAATATCAAAGGAGTAAAAGAGCAATGTGCAAATTTACCAAATATCAAAGGAGTAAAAGAGCAATGATCAAATTCTAAGATCTACAGTGAGGGAGACAAACAGGGAGCAAGAAAGTAATTTTCATCATCTGGCAAGGATGGAGATTTATGTCAACACCTGAAAACATCCTCCTAACAGTTTGAAGAAATAAAGTATTAGTAGTAGTTTTCTCATTACAAGTCACTCAAAGTGAACGATTCAAGTCATCTAAAGAACAGAGCAACAATTAATTTTCAAAGAAACCACAAAAAGGTTACATGAAATTATCCTCATTAAGATCCATTAACATTTTAAAATACTTGATGGCTTTATGCAGAAAGCACAAGAGATATGCTTTTCAAACTGTAGTGATGAAAACATAATGAGCAGATTTTGTCTCCTGCTACCATGTGTGATACAATACCGAGGGATAATGAGCGTTCCTTCAGGCATCTGACCACCTGTAACAGAAAATCCTTTTCTATTCAAGTCTGAAAGATCTGAGAAAAACCCTACTCATTCTCTAGATGAGCTAACTTCTACTTAAGATGTTTAGTTAATAACCCCAGTCCTCCATGCCCTTACCAATTAAAGGAGAATAAATTTCTGTTGCAGTTGTGTTGTTAGTTCAAACAAGAAAGCCTAAATTCTTGACCATGTATTGACACAGCACTGATGCTGAAACCCCAAGTGCAACTCAACTCTCATTGGATAACCTAATCAAATGCTTAGAATTCTTTTAAATGCTTTTAAAGCTGTATTGACCAGTGTATCTTGATTAATCATAAAATTTTAATTCTTTATTGTGTAATTCAAATGAAAGAATTATCTTTACAATTATAACAGTAATTGTGCACACCAGTCATAAAGTCAGGAGTATAAGATTATGGATAATTTGAGAATAATGTGAAATCATTCCAGGAGCAATGCTAGGCTTGTTTTCTCTGTTTTAGATCAGGCTATTTACAGAACTAATCCTAATAATGGAAAGATGCATGCTACTAAAATAAATGAATTAATTACTTCTCTAGTCACTACAATAGGCAGCAATGCTCTTTTTATTGTAATTGTACAACATACCAAACAATATGTCTAATACTTAAACAAAAGGGAAATAAAAATAAATCCAAGAAAAACTGGTGTGGTTGGTATGAGCATCTGCTGAC